ATCCCAGTCCATCCCAGTAACTTCCAGTTTGATCCCAGTTGGGGACAAGGTCCCGGCCGACATCCGGATCATCTCCATCAAATCCACGACGCTGCGGGTGGACCAGTCCATCCTTACTGGTGAGACTGGTTTATACTGGTTTATACTGGTTTATACTGGTTTATACTGGTTTATACTGGTTTATACTGGTTTATACTGGTTTATACTGGGAGGGGGCTGGGGAGGGTCTCAGGTGTTACTGGGATGAACTGGGAGGGACTGGTTTATACTGGTTTGGACTCGTTCTGACTCATTTATACTGGTTCAGACTGGTTCGGATTGGTTTGGACTGGTTTAACCTGGTTTAGACTGGTTTGGACTGGTTTGAACTGGTTTAAAGTAGTTTAAAGTGGTTTAAACTGGTTTATACTGGTTTATACTGGTTCGGACTGGTTTGAACTGGTTTAAAGTAGTTTAAAGTGGTTTATACTGGTTTATACTGGTTTATACTGGTTCGGACTGGTTTGAACTGGTTTAAAGTGGTTTAAAGTGCTTTAAACTGGTTTATACTGGTTTATAATGGTCTGAACCGGTTCTAACTGGTCCAAACTGGTCCATACTGGTCCGTACTGGGATCTCTGTGGGGGTGGGAAGGGGATTTGGGCCGTAAGGTATGTCCCAGACTGGCCCAAACTGGTTTATACTGGTTCAGACTGGTTTGTACTGGTTTATACTGGTCTATACTGGTCTATACTGGTTTAAACTGGTTTATACTGGTCCGAACTGGTCCGAACTGGGATTGCTGTGGGGCTGAGAAGGGGATTGGGGCTGTTCTATGAGGGGGTTGCTGCGTCCCAAACTGGTCTGAACTGGTTCCTACCAGTCTATATTGGTTTATTCTGGTTTATACCGGTCTGTACTGGTCTATACTGGTTTGTACTGGTCTATACCGGTCTGTACTGGTTCATACCGGTCTATACTGGTCTATACCGGTCTGTACTGGTTTGTACTGGTCTATACTGGTTCATACCGGTCTATACTGGTTCATACCAGTTTGTACTGGTTTGTACTGGTCCATACTGGTTTGTACTGGTCTGAACTGGTCTGTTCCGGTCCAGGTGAGTCGGTGTCGGTGATCAAACACACGGACCCCGTGCCCGACCCCCGCGCCGTCAACCAGGACAAGAAGAACATGCTCTTCTCGGTGAGTGACGTCATCAGTGACGTCATCA